GGGCACAGAGGATGAGGAAGCATATTTTAGCTTTATCCTTGAAAATACAATGTTTTCTGTTTGAAATTCAAAATAGCTTAGCCAGTGCTGCTGAAGAAGGAGATAATAAACAAAACTTAAATGAGTAAAGCTGTGCAGTGTTATGTATTGGCGTTCACTGAGAAGTTTCTCTTTGTCCATAGGGAATGACTCTGCATAAAAAGGCAGCAGAAGATAGACTGGCTAGTACAGGCTCAGGACAGTCCTTCCTGGCTAGACAAAGGCAAGCCACGAGCACAAGGAGATCTTACCCTGGTCATGTCCAGCCAGCAACAGCAAGGTAGAGAAGCCTTGCCCTTAGAAAGAAAACTGCCCTGTGATCCAGGCCACTTCTGTTGCAAGTGACAACATTCAAGAAAAATCAGCCAGCATCCTTTCTCTTTCTCCCTTGTTGCTACTATTATTTTACAGTTCAGGAAAGGGTTTTATTATGGTTTCTCATTGTTCTGTAATGCCCTTTGCTTATATTTCTTGGAGTCCATCTCTCTCTCTCTCTCTCTTTCTGTCTATCTCTGCATTTTTTGAATGTGCCAAAGTTTTGAAAACATCTAGAGGCGTGCTGTATAACAGTCTTACTGGTATGAAGCCTGGTCTCTTATGAAAAGCCTCATATGGGCTGTGTAACAATGTAAATTTCCTGTCACAGTTGATACATTTGTGCCTATAAGTCTTGTTACACTTTATAAGACTGTCTTTGTTCAGAGGGAATTAGGCTTTCTATTTTATCAGCTAACCTGTTGCTTCAAGAAAATGCTGAAAACTAATTACAGAAATTAAAAATTAGTATATAATATTACTGTGAAATATATTTGCTACTAAAAAAATTACCAATGGCAAAAAGAATTTTTTTTTTTTTTTTAATCTCCTACATGCAAAGTTTGCTCTTATTCTTGGCATTTAATAAGGAAGCAGGATGATTTTTTCCCAGGTTTTTCTTTATCTACTGGTCTTAGTCTTCTGGTGACAGAGCTGGATATTTTCAAATGGTTTGTTCCATTCTTTTTGGTCAAGTGTATGCTTAATATATATTATAAAAAGATTGAGAAATGCTCTAATATGCTACTGCATCATCCATGTAAAAAGGACATTTGTTTTAAAATTTTATAGTTACGGATGAACAGTACATAGTGGATCAAGGCCCTGGTTAATATTCTTGATGTTAATGTATTCCAGTTGTCATCCCCTGCCAAAAGACTTGCTTGTAATATCAATTCAGGGTATAATTGTATCAGTTGCCTTACTAATGGTACCAGTGCCTTCAGGTGAGTTTGTTGCTGACTTTGTTGGAAACTGGGTGCAATTTGTTGTACTGCCTTTTTAGTGTGTAGCTGGTTAATTGTACATCACTCATTGTAGCACCTTCATGTTGACTAGTGGGGTGGATGGTGGCCCCTATTATTAATTTAGGTTCTGTACTTTTTCCCTGACTAATTCTATGCTCTTCCTATCACTTTTGCCAAAGAACTGATGGACAGAGAGGACCTGAGTATGGGTTGAAAGTTTCATATACATACATCTTGTGGTGTTTCAGTTTTAAGCATTTTGCATTGAGAGACTGTTTGGTCCCTAATGCACATGCAGTCTGGTTTACAAATTTATTCTTATACCTTATTTTAATGCCCTCCCAAGTGAAAACATATTTTCATAAATCCCTTTAGAGAAAAGACATACGAGCATTTATTAGTTATCTGAAGGTCTATGCTAATTCACCGTTTGGGTGGAATGAGCAAAAGGATAATGAAAACAAACACACTGAGATTAAAGGGTGAGGAACAGGTGAAGGACACTTTTAGGTACTGTTTTGTCTTCAAGTACATCATCTGTTTTAATCTGGGTTAAGAAATGCATTCAATATGTGTCTGAAAAAATATATCAGTTCTGTTCACACCCCTCCACACCACACAACCCCCATGATATGAAAACATATGCTGAAATCTATTAACTGCATGTAGGTTTGTCTTTTATTCCTCACATTTGGAAAAACTCAATTTTTCTAAAAATTCTCTGTACGTATTCAAAGAGGACATGTCTGGGCTATGCTTGCAAGACTAGATAAAACAGTGAAGTATCTTCTGTGCAGAAGGATAACAATGTAAAGGAAGTTTAAGACAATTTCTGTAGCTCATTTTGCTGTCTCTTACTGATATACGGAATACTAAAGGGACAAGAAGTCGTATTTGTTATCTAGCAAGATGACCACAGTTTGTTTGCGATGTCTTTTACTCATCTGATTGTGCAATCCATTCTGGTCATCTGAAGAACTCTTTACCACATGCCATGTGTGAACAGGAGCAAATAAGATGACTTCTCTGACAGAATTTGATGTTCTTGTTTGTCATTGCAGCATGTTCTACCATGCAGAGAAAGAACCTAAGAATACCTAAAGCTCCATTCTTATTTTAATCTGGCTGGTTCTGCCTTTTACCAAACTGCCAAAGTCTATTTGTGAGAGAAAGGGATACCAGGACCTTAATAGGAAGTTTTATCTCTTAATTTTGTCTAGTAATTTACTTTTCTTTTACTATTAATTAGGTGCAGGCCTAAAATAACTTGAACACAATCTGCACAGTAGATTGCTTTTATTATTTGCTTTTATTATTTTAACTTTTTATTACTTTAACTTTTATTATTTTAACTTTTGTTTTACCATTTTGCCTCCAAAGTTTTGATGACAGGCAAATGCCCCTGGTGGTTAGGAGATGGACAAATGGTGATTAGAAGCTTCATTTTTAGCTTTTACTTTCCTGTCTCTCATGGCTTCTTTCAGTTCTTGGTTATTGTTTGTTTTTATCTTCTGCTTTGTGGTTTTGGTTGGTTTTTCCTTCTCCCTTAATACAAGTCAGCGAAGTGTTTTCTATAGTTAGGTTCAAGAATACAGGAATATCTGGCATCATTATATAGCATCAATGAGCAAAACAAGACTAATAGTGATTCTGTCTTTTACCGTTGCTCATAGTAATTGTTAGGCAAGATTGAACAAGCATTTTGTCTTTTGAGAATTCTCAAACTTGTAACAATTCTGGTATTTCTCAGAATTTGTGTTGCATATAAAAAACTAAAAATATATTGTAGTCTTACAGAAATATACTCTGTTGCTGTCCATTCTCCAGCAAGTAATTTCTTCTATCTTCTGATGGTATCTTCAGGAATTTAAGTCCTTGTTCTTCAGTGTTTTACTTCTATTATTCGCTGCATACATCAATCCTTAATCTTCAGGTGTGGATGAACGCAGGTGCTGAACATCATTAAACCTTCTTTTTCACAAGAACAACTTCTTTATTAAAAGGGTTCAGCTTCATTATTTTCCTTGCTTGATACATAGCATTGGAAGTAGTGTGGGACTAAGAAAAAGAAGAGGCTTAGACTGTGACTTCAAGGAATAAGCACATGTATAGATGAGCTACCAGTGAATGTGGTCTATTTGTCATATCTTAAGTAATAAAAGAATATAAGTAAAAAACCTCTGTAAACCAGAATTCTCTCAGTACATTAGATACTTCTAAGAAGCTTTTAGGAACACTTTTCTGGGGCAACAAAGAACATTTACATCAAAATTGTAGTGATAATTATTAAACCAATGCTATATTCTGTCCTGATACATTACAAAAAAAAAAACCCTAGAGATTGAAGTTCAAGAGAGAAGATTTTCCAGGGCATTTATAAAACAGCTGAAGAGTTCATGAGAGCACATTTTTGAGCGCTGTGCCAAAGATCTGCCCAGAATAATCTTTCTGAGAGACTTTAATGAATGCCAATAAAAGGTAACACTTAAATGGATTAATATTTTGATTGTTCAGACCGGAAGCTTAGTTTCTGTTTTTAAAGGATGTGTGTGCAGTCCAGTTTGTATGCTTCTGTGGAGAGTTAAGTTGTTAGCATATCTGATCAGATATAACAGAAAAGAATATTCAACTTCTCCATTTTCTTGATAGGAACATGTAACCACTTGGATCATAACATTTATTTCTCATGTGCTGTGAAAACTGAAGTAATCTAATTTAAAGATTGGGTGTTCCACCCACAGTGCAAAGGAAAATAAATGACTAGAGCACACAGCTTTATATATTGTAAAATGAAGTAAATATGTAATGGCTACAAGATGCTTTTCGTTATCTCTTTGGAAATAAGCAAATGGTGATTTTGTCCTGTTCTGATGTCACTTGACATAGCAGTAATGCTTCTGCAAGTTTTCTGTGGCTTTCTATTCATGTAAGGAGCACCAGCAATTTTATATTCATTGTTTATGAAAGAATTAACAGTGGATATTCCTGTTACTGCTCTATGATTATCTTAAACAGTAAGTGGTATGTGCACGCTGTCAAGAAAATTTAAGAGGATTTGGCAATTTCCAAGTTCTTGGTATTTTGACAAGCGCGATTTTTCTTCTTCTTATGAAGCAAAACAGTACCTGAATTTTACTCGTTTTATAGAGATTTTTATTCTTGCCCAACATGTTGAATTTTAGCAAGGATTGTTGAGGGAGGTATTTTTGCACTCAAAGTCAGCTACGCAATACTGACTTCTATGGGGTTTTGCACGTGAGTTTGAGGTAGAGTGTGGACTCTGTGTTTTGCAGTAACATTGTATTGATAAACTTCGGTATCTCCAAAACAAGTTTAGCAAATTTTGCAGGCATTTTCCTCACCAGTATTGTGCAAATAAGTAGCTAAAAGACGTTACTCCACCAGGAAATACTTTCAAGTGATGTTTTTTCCTTTAAGCCAAGTAGTCATACTTCAGTGGTGTTCCCTACGGAGTAATTCGATAGCTGGATTATGGCTGAAATGTGATCTCAGGACATCAAGCACTTATAAAGAAACCTTTTCAGAAGCCCTTCCTTAGAACAACTGTATTAACTGACACGGGCAGTATGATACATTTAGCATGCTGTTAAAATGAAGCGGTGAATCGTTACAACACTTTAAATGTAAAGACTGGATAAGCAAGAAATTCAGTGAATGAGGTTTTAAACCTTACAGACTGCACACAGCCCAGACACATGTCCCCTCCCAAACCCGAGCAGTCCAGCTCCCTTCTGTATTGGCAAGAGCACTGCATTTCAACTTTGTGCCTTGCATCAGGAGAAAGAAGTGAAGTTTTTGATTCTTGGAGAAGCGAGGAGGCGGGTCAGCAGAACTGCTACCTTGGACTTCCGGAGAGTGGACTTTGGTGTTTTCAGGAGCCTGGTTGACAAAGTCCCTTGGGAGGCAGTACTCAAGGGCAAAGGAGTCCAAGAAGGCTGGATGTTTTTCAAGAAGGAAATCTTAAAGACACAGGAGCGGGCTATCCCCAATGTGCCAAAGAATGAGCCGTCAAGGAAAAAGAGCAGCCTAGCTGAACAGAGAGCTATGGTTGCAACTCAGGGGAAAA